CGGGAAATGGTATAGTGTTACCGCATGAGTATTGGGAATTGGATATGCAATCAAATGATATCCAGTCGAATCACATTTTCCTTGGTTTTTTTCGTACCCGACTGGTTCACTTCAACCGGAAAGCACTGTCCCCTGATACTTCTTTGCATATGCATAAAGCACTGTGTTGGGCTTAGCCAATACCTCATAAGTGGTTTGTTGGGTGAGCACCTGGAAACGATTCGAGTCGCAGAATGAATTAGATCACGGGATGAGTCCCACTCTACACGGCGAGGTGTACTGACTTCAGATCTTCTGGTAAGGAACCGCGCAGTTTAATTTCGAATTCCTTCATACGGATTTTAAACAAGTCCACGAGACTCATGTGTGTACTCGTGTTTTTGGTCAATTTAACTGGTAACAGGAACTTACACGAGTGCATGTCTTTTCGAGACACATGATGGGTAGCAGCGACTAAGTTAGCTCGGTCTCTCCTGTTGCGTTCGCCAATTGGGTTGCGTTGAGCATCACCATCCATCCTATAACCGCATCGCTGAGTTCATTTGGTATAGTGCACTACGGACGATGAGGTCAGGATTCGTCACGTCTGTCTGAACAATTCCCGAACGTTCAAAGCTGGCCTGTTATACTTCAGTTCAGCATGCGTGACTGATAGGCCAACTACCTCAAAATGTCCGTTACAGAAGACCGTATGAGACTCCAAATCACTGCATTAGCCTTCTCATTTATGAGCTGACGTCTGTTGTTACACTACTGCATCGTCCAACACAGTGTCGTACAGATGACATTGATTGCCATCTTAAGAGCCCTCACTGTTCCTTGTCATAGTAATGAGGTCTGGAGTTTCAGAGCACTTAAGCGACTTGGAAACTTTGAGCACATTTCACTGAGCAACTTATTGGCAGATGTCGCGATCATTGTTGTCATCACATCTGAAGCAGTCATTATGAAGTAGCGTCACGTTATTTTCCAACATACGATGACTCCCTGCTCTGTTTACAGGGCATATCCTCACAACAAGTACTCAGCATATGGTAAAGGTTCTGAATGAAACCAAAGATGGAACCAATCGAATTCTAGCCTTGTAAACAATGTATGAAATAAAGTTCATTACATACCCTAAGGACCGTAGTTCAGTGTGACAAGCCTCCCTAGATAACTAGCCACCTCAGTTCCAGATTGTAGATAGTCACAAAGAAATTTCGGTGAGCGGTGAATGTATCGCTGAAGAATAGAATTTATTTGGACTCTAGTTTTAAGCACTCTCTGTGTGGATGTATTTCGACCAGAAATCTCAATCGGCACCTCAATTCAGTTCGAACTGATCTTAGATTTATTCCGTCACTAGGACCATGCTTGAGATAGGTGAATATTGCATGTAGTCCAGTCGCAACGCTGCATTCCATGAGCTGTTTCGTACTCGGCTGCACTTGCCAGCCATGGACAGCAGTACCGTGACTCGTGCCCGAGATGTTAGGAGACCAACCGAGCCTCCAAGACGTAGTGAGCAATGATCGTCGCAGGGGTTAACGACTCGTTGAACGCGCCACTTTGATATTCATCTTGTATGTTTGGACTGTGATGCACAATCTCAAGCTGAAGTGCAATTTGCTCTGAGGCGAATCTTCAATTACCCAATGCTTGGGAATCGAAGTCTAGCCAATCTGTCTCCATCTGAATAGCACAGTGAAGTATGAATCCGTTAGTGGAGGACAGTGTTGCCAGGGGGAGATAGCCAGCAACCATTTGCTCGTAAGTTATTATGGTTCACTGCCCAACCACCTTTATTTACTTTGTACTCCCCATGTGAGGCCAGAAGACTGTGAACGGAGAGATGTCGCACCAGTTACGCGACACGGAGGGTCCTGCTCGGAAGCGGTTGATAACTACCAAGCTCCAGTAACTACAACGGTAGATGCTTCTCCGAGGAAGTTCACATCAAATGAGCAGGAGATTTCATCGTGTGAGGTTGTTCGAGCTGAAGGTAGAATGGCTAAATTGATACGAACCATAACAGCAGATAATTCGTCGAGGTGCGCGGTATTTTTGCTGATATACCTGAAGAAAGCTAATGCACAACCACTTACTAAAGTAAGAGTAGACACAAGTACACCGGACTTGTAGTCCACCAAGCAGACCAGTCTAGTGTTAGTTCTGACGCAGGTATCTACCCAAATCTGTGATGGAGAAATGGCGAAGCGCTTTTACCAGTGTTGCTGCGTTGACATCAGCGCGCAATGGTATAAAATATCGTATGAAATCTACCCAAACTTTAATGAATTATGCATTCGCTATCTGCGGAGAAAATGATGGCGCTACTCTTTAAGTTATGGCCCAGTCGCCTCGGATCCTAGTTAGTTTGTATTCATGGCCGTTGAAAATCCAACAATTTTGTGCGAATTCTTCTACTACCATTTTAGTAGGGCTGAAAGTAAGCGTCCCTATTTTCCAGGTAAATTCCATGGTTTCCTACGTATTTTTGCAGGTGATATCAACCTATGTGGTATAACTATTCTCATCAGTCTTGGCCTATGGAACATTGTATACTACCACACCAGATCCAGTGCAGCTGTGGACATGATATTTGTTAACAAGGTTAAGCTGTTCCCTGTGTGTAATAAGACGCCAACTGCAAGCTCTGGTCACTCATCAGTTAAGATGTGTCATGTAGTCTACTCTGAGACAACCATGTGGAGGCTACCCATCGTAACTTACAGATACAGGCAATTTTCTGCAGAGAATATTAATCAACGACGAGAAATGCTACGACCCACCGAGTTCAGTCTACTTGTTGCTGCTGCTGTATCCAAGCTCACCGCCCACCCGAAACTGTTCATCCATGCGGACAAGTTTCCTTCCCTCATCTGAAACGGTCGTGTAGACTAAAGGAGAAAGCTTTCAAATGCAAAACAACACCTCAGCAAGTTATTCTATATCATTATTAAGGAGGAGTTGCGCCGCTTCAACAACTTGTACTTTCAGGCTAAAATTGAGAATATTAGATGCCTTGGGATCCGGAGGATGTTGAAACAAATTAGCAGGGTAACTAGACGTAAATTAACCTTTGAAGTAGATGTGGTAAAC